TCACACAAGGCATTGTCTTATGTCACAACGAAACATCTATTTTATAGAGCTTTCTGAATTTTGTATTCTCAGACTCTTAACTGTAGAGAACAATCTGATGGTTACCAGAGGGTGGGTGGGGGATGGGTGATATAGGTGTTGGGGATTAAGGAGGCACTTGTTGTGATGATGAAAACTGGGTGATGTATGCAAGTGTTGAGTCACTATACTGTACACCTGAAACTAATACTATGCTGTTTGCTAAATAACTGGAATTTAAATAAAATAAATCTTCAAGTAGAAGTTATTAAAAATAATATACGACACTATTTTTCACAGATATAGATTAACTTGGGGATTAATATTTTCCTAAAATTTGGAGACATTTGAAATTTTGTATTTTTGTTACTACCACAAAATTCTGACCTCATTAGTTGCAGTTGATATATGTGTAGCCTTTTTATTTTTTTGAACTGTTCTTTGGTTGCAGAAACTGCTTTTTAAAAATCATCACATTTCAGACATCTGGTAAGTTATTATTGGTTCATTTGGAAGTTGAAGCATGTAAATTTTTAACCACTTTCAATTTTTCAAATCATAACAAAGTTGACCAAGCGAGATGTACAAAAAAGAATTCTCCAAAAAGTAAAATTATGTGTGTATTATTATTATACCAAGGTTAAGAAATAGAATCTAACAAGAAATACAAGACCATTTAGCATCATCTATACAAGGTGATGGTCTATTTAGTCATCCCCAAATTCCAAATTATTCCATAGGTAGTTATTTGTTGTGCACAAAACTGAGAGACGTAAAAGTGTATTGACAGTAGATTTATTCACCCAACAATACAATGGGAAACAAATATCACGTCAAGTATCAGTTTGTAGAAGAATAAATAGTAATGATTTCTATGCATCTACACAGTGGAATATTAGGTAGGGAAATAAATAAACTACAGCTCTAAATATCAGTATATATATATTAAGATCACAGAAAATGTAAAAAGAAAGACATGTAAGAAATGTATAGTTTGTTTTCTTTGCATATATTATCAAAATATCCAAAATTTTCATGAGCATATGCATTGTTTTGCTGTGAAATTCTCAATGAAGATAGGGAATAGTAAATAGAAAATTCAATTAGGTGTCTTCCTCTGGTGTATGTAGAAGGAAGGAATGAGAAAGAGGTGACCTGGGAGGGGTGAGAATGGGGAGTTGGTTACATGATAAAAACAGCCAGTTGCATGGCCTTTCTTGGATTTTTATAACAATATTGGTAATGTTTTATTATTTACTGGAATGTGACTACATAAGTTTTTCTTTAAATCTAAATACAGATTATATTGATCCTTTTTTTGGATGTATGGCATTTCATATCTATCTTACACCATTCACAAAAGAACTCAAAATGGATTAAAAACTTAAAATGTAACACTTGAAACTGTATAACTCCCAGAAGAAAATATAAAGGATAAAAGCTTCATGACATTGGTCTCAGTAATGATTTCATTGATACGATACCAAAAGTACAGGCAATGAAAGCAAAAGTAGATGAGTGGGACTATATCAATGAAACAGCTTCTGTACAACAAAGGAAACTATCAATAGAGTAAAAGACAACCTATAGATGGGAGAAAATATTTGTCAACCATATATCTGGTAAGGTGATAGTTTCCAAAATAGAAAAGGAACTCCTTCAATTCAAAGGCAAAAACCAAATAACCATATTTAAAAATGGCCAAAACACTGGAAATAACAAATGTTTGTGAATATGTGGAGACATTGGAACTCTTATACACTATTAGTGCTAGCATCTCAATGTGTCCTTCCCAAAATCTTGTATTGAAATCCTAACACCCAAAGATGATGATATTCAGAGATGAGACCTTTGGTAGTTGCTTCAATAGTGCAGGTGGAACCCTTGTGAATGGAATTAATACCTGAAAAGAGAGGCTCTAGAGAGAACCCAAGCCCCTTTCCCTAGGTGAGAAGGCACAGTGAGAAGACACCAGCTAAGAAATAGGAAGCGAACATTCATGAGAATGCAATCATACTGGTGCCTTGACCTCAAACTTCTCTGCCTCCAGAACTGTTCATTTTTTGTTCTAAGCCACCCAGTTTGTGGCATTTTGTTATAGTAGCCCAAATGGACTAAGAAAGTCAGAATGTAAAATGGTTTAACTATTAAAGAAAACAGAATGAAGGTTCTTCAAAAAATTGAAGACAGAACTGCCATATGATCTAGCAATTCTACTAAGTAAATATCCTCAAGATTGAAGAAGGATCCTAAAGAGACACCTGCACTCTTGTGTTCATTGTAGCATTATTTACAATAACCAAAATATGGAAACAACCAAGTGTCCATCACAGACAAAAGGATGAAGAAAATATGGTATGCACATACAATGGATTCTATTCAACCTTAAAATTATTTTTTAAAAATATTTTATCTATTTATTCATGAGAGGCACAGAGAGAGAGAGGCAGAGACACAGGCAGAGGGAGAAGCAGGCTCCATGCAGGGAGCTCGATGTGGCACTTGATCCCTGGTCTCCAGGATCACGCCCTGGGCCGAAGGCAGGTGCTAAACCACGGAGCCATCCAGCGTTCCCCTCAACCTTAAAACTAAAGGGAATGCTACCATTTGCCATATCATGGATGGACCTGGAAGATGTTAAATGAAATAAGTTAGTCAAAGAAGAACAAATACTGGCATGATTTCTCCTCTATGAATTATCTAAAGTAGTCAAACTTATAGTAACAAAATAAAATGGTGGTTGTCAGGGGATTGAAGGAGGAAGAAGAGGGGAAACTGTTGCCCAATGCGTATAAAGTTAGAATTACACAAGATGGAAAAATTCTAGATATCTACTGTGGAACTTAGTGTTTACGGTAACAATATGGAATTGTGCACTTAATTTGTCAAGAAGAGTACATACCGAGAAGTGGGATTGCTCCAATTATGATAATTCTATTTTTAATTTTTTGAGGAATCCCCATACTATTTTTCCATTATTGGCTGTACCAATTTGCATTCTTGCCAACAGTGGACAAGTGTTCCATTTTACTCCACAGTATTGCCAACCCTTACTGTTACTCTCATGTTTTGAAGACCGCCCTTCTAACAGGCATGAAGTAAAACCTCATTGTGTTTTTTTTTTTAAACAACAGAAGTTTTTTTTTTTCTTTAATTTATTTATGATAGTCACACAGAATGAGAGAGAGAGAGGCAGAGACACAGGCAGAGGGAGAAGCAGGTTCCATGCAGGGAGCCCGACGTGGGATTCGATCCCGGGTCTCCAGGATCGCTCCCTGGGCCAAAGGCGGGCGCCAAACCGCTGTGCCACCTAGGGATCCCTCATTGTGGTTTTGATCTGCATTACCCTGATGATGAGTGATGTTGAGCAGCTTTTTATGTATCTATTGGCTACTTGTGTGTTTTCTTTGGGAAAATGTCTATTTAGTTCCTCTGCCCATTTTTTAATCAGATGCCTGTGGGATTTTTTTGTTTTTTTTGTGTGTGTTTTTTGTTTTGTTTTGCTTTATTTTTGGGTTGTTTTTTTCTTGTTTTGTTTTCGTTTTTTTTTTTTTTTTTTTTGCTATTGAGTTGCTGAGTTCTTGTTGTATTTTAGACATTAACCCCTTATCAGATATATGCTTTCTAAATATTTTCTCCAATTCTATAGCATTATTCATGATAGCCAAGATACAAAAACAACTGTAGTGTCTCTCAATGGATGAATAAAGATGTGCTGTGTATATGTGCAATGGAACATATTTCAGCCATGAGGAAGAAGGAAATTCTGTCAAATGTGAGAATATAGATGGGCCATGAAGGCATTGTGCTAAGTATAAGCCAGACAAAGACAAACACTGTATATCACTTAGATGTGGAAACTTAAAAAAAAAAATCCATACTCATAGAAATAGAGAGTAAAAAAGAAAAGAAAAGAAAAGAAAAGAAATAGAGAGTAGAATGGTAGTCATCAGAGCCTGGAGAGTGGGAAAAATGGAGAGATGTTAGTCAAAGGGCACAAACTTTCTGCTGTAAGTTCCAGAAATCTAATGTACAGCATGGTGACTATAATTAATGCTACTTATTATGCAATTGAAGGTTGCTAAGTGAGTAGATCTTAAATGTTCCCACCACAAAAAAGAAAAGGAAATTATGGATGGGATGAAGGTTAGATAAGACTATGGTGCTAATCATTTTACAATATAAAAGTGTGTTAAATCAACACATTGCACAAGTTAAAGTTAACAATGATATATATTAATTATGCTTCAAGAAATGTAAATACACACACACACACACACAGACACACAAATACATATATATGTACCTTGTGCCAGTGTAAAATAAACTATGTGATCTTGTCCTCAGGGATCATCCAATTTGGGACTTCGTTGTCAGCTATGTCAAGGACACTCTGCTAGCACCCTGGATTCACTCTGCTGTGGAGGCAGGAGCTCAAAGTTGTCATTTATTTCCTATACTTTTCTAGACATCAATGTTTTTTAAAGATTTTATTTATTCATGAGAATACACAGAGAGAGAGAGAGAGAGAGGCAGAGACACAGGCAGAGGCAGAAGCAGGCTCCATGCAGGGAGCCCGACGTGGGACTCGATCCCGAGTCTCCAGGATCATGCCCTGGGCCGAAGGCAGCGCTAAACCCCTGAGCCACCCGGGATGCCCACATCAATTTTTTTAAACAGACACTTTGAGAAAGCTATTTTAAATTAAATTGTCTATATTAAATAGCTACAGATTTTAAAATGTTGGTTACTTCCAGCAAATGCATCAACTGTGTTTTTAAATGGAAATTTCTAATTTAGTTTTTAAGTATATATGGTAAATTCATTGTTTCTGGTATACTGTCTTGAGATTTGACAGATAGTGGTCATGTAACCACTATCAAAATCAAGATGCAAAATCATTCTGTGACCATTCCCACATTCCTTTGTGCTGCCTGAGAAATTTTATGGCCCTTAAGATACTGCCTGTTTTCTGACAAGGCAATTTGCTTTATTATTTTTTTAATATTTTATTTATTTATTCAGAGAGACACAGAGAGAGAGGCAGAGACACCGGCAGAGGGAGAAGCAGGCTTCCTGCGGGGAGCCCGATGTAGGACTCGATCCCAGGACCCTTGGATCATGATTTGAGCCAAAGGCAGATGCTCAACCACTGAGCCACCCAGGTACCCAAGGCAATTTGTTTTATTTATTTATTTATTTATTTATTTATTTATTTATTTATTTGGCAATTGCTTTAAAGACAAACCTGGACTTATGTGCATTTGGAAAGTGAGGCAAAAGATTCCATAGAAAGCATCAATGAATCTGATTTTTCGGAATAAAAGAAATTTTTTGACTTTATTAGTTTGGATAATGACATATACCTTCCCATAAGAGGTACTCTAAGCATGCTTACCTTTGAATTCTTCAATGATTAAGTTCATTGGCTGCCCATGGTTTTCTTTTCTTTCTTCTTTTTTAAAAATTTTATTTTTTTGAGAGACAGAGAGAGCACAAATGAGTGGAGGGGCAGAGGAAGAGGGAGAAGCAGACTCCCCGCTGAGTAGGGAGCTGGGTGCAAGGCTGGATCCCAGAACCCTGAGGTCATGACCTGAGATGAAGACAGATCTTAACTGACTCAGCCATGAAGTACCCCTGACCATGGTTTTTCAACTGTACCCAACAACATGTGATTACTAAACCTGCCTCTGATTATCGGGCTTACAGTTTCTTTTGCTTCCTGGATATTAGAAATTACCTGCTTCTACAGAATCCAATGGTCAATTCTCCTGCTTATATTGGTCTCCCTATATTTGGTATTCTGCCTCCAGTATCTCACAGGATCTCCTAATATGGAATATTGGAGAGGAAACATAAATAAACATGTGGTCAGTGTTTTCCAGCAAGAGTTAATATTCAGACCTAATATTGGACCTAACAGACACAATAGGCAGCATGTCAAAAGTTCACATATTGCCAGTTTAAATAAGTTGTCTCACTTGTACATGCCGTGTATGACAAGAGGTTCCACCAAGGAGTCTCCAAATTTCTCATTTTGCAGAAGAGAAAATCACAATGAATTTTATTAATTAGAAAAGAATAGTTTCTTCACACATTCAGGACTCACATAGGGAATAAACCATGTTTATAGACAAAAATTCATAAGAGTAAAAAAAATAGAAATTGCGGTCTTGTTAACTTACAATTTTCACATGATTCCCAAATGAAGAAATTCTGTAACTTAAAGAAATCATCCAAATATATGTATTTTATATGTGTGTATGTATATATATTTATTTTTAAATATTTTATTTATTTATTCAGGAGAGGCACAGAGAGAGAGGTAGAGACATAGGCAGAGGGAGAAGCAGGCTCCCAGTGGGGAGCCCAAGGCGGAACTCGATCCCAGGACCCTGGGATCATGCCCTGAGTGGAAGGCAGATGTTCAACCACTGAGCCACCCACACATCCCTATGTATAGTGTATATTTAAATGTGTGTGTGGAAACATGAATATTTCAGAAGACATTTGGAGAGGTGAGGAGAAACAGTCATGTTTGTAATCTATCTTTTTCATAGTAAAAGACTACAAGTGTGCTGGAGAGTAATTTGCTCTTATCTATAAATTTTAAGCTGCATTTATTATTTGACTCAAATGCAACTTCTAAAAGTCTAGAAAAAATTGAATGAGCATAAAATGACCTGTATAATCATATTCAATACAACACCTAGCAAAAGGATTTAGCAATACCTTAAAAGGAATTGTGTATACTTGTATATATTTATATGAAGATATATCATTGACTGTTAAATGAAAAAAGAGAGAAATATCTTTATTCTCCTGTTTCTATTTTTATCTATCCATCTATCATATATTTATCTGTATCTATCTATTATCTATCATCTTTAAGGCCAATATCTTCAAATCTTTCTCAGCTCTGTCTTCATAAGACCTTCTTTCTGTGTCTGCATCAAATTTCTTTCTGTCTCTCTTTTATAAAAATCCTTGTGATGACATTTAGGGCTTACCAAGATAATATATGTATTTAGATATGTATACATAGATATACACATATGTATATGGACTATGTGCAGTATACGTACGTATGCATAGTACATAGTATGTATACATATGCTATGTCTGTGTATATGTACATAAGTATATATGCATCTATATATGTGTAGATGTAACATTAACACATATTATTATATATAACGTGTTATTATATATAATATATATATATTATATATATCTGTCTGCTTCTCTTCATCTTTCTCTGTATCTATCATGAATAAAATATTAAAAAATATAGATATATACATGCATATAGATACACACATACATACAACTGCATATATTTATATATACACATATGTATATATTTGTGTGAGATTTTAGTATAGTTGTATATTAAATATGTACATATATGCATATATTCAAACATTTGATTCACTTTCGTGATTAATTTAAAAAACTCATAGCCTGTTGTGCACCATAGACAGTATCTCCTGCTCTTATTTTTTTTTCCCTGCTCTTAACCTCAATATGTGTAAGAGAACTTCAGTTTAATTTCTCCACAAATGTGCCAAAAGGATTTGCCTGCACAAATATCTCGGATGGTGTCTATGTAAATATTTCAAGGAACTAATGTAAACACAATAGTCACTTTATTATGATAAAGGTACATTTTTTGCACTTATCAGATTTTGTACTCTCCCATTAAGTTGGCATGGGGCAGTGCTAGATTCAAAGATTCTTTTCTAAATCTTGGCTTTCTTCACTGATTAAAAAAAAAAGGGCAGGTTAGATTAGGGTGACAAATATAAGTCTGACACATAGCCTATGCACAGACTTTTAATATTTTATCCTTAATATTTATGACAAACTCATGAGACAGAAATTATTCTCACGTTTAAAATCAGGAAGTTGTGGATTAGAAAAGGTCTGAATATTGTGTCAAGTTTACTCAATAGTAGATGAGATTTGAATCAGAACTTATATCTGCCAAAGCTCTTACCGCTGAGCCATATGGTGAAGCAGATTAGTTAAATAGCTCTGATTAAATCTCTTCCTACTTCAAATCCTATAGGGTCTTCCACTAAACTTTGAGGTAAAGATCAAATTATTCATCATGTAATTCAGGGAACATGCTTTCCTCTAGCCCAGGTCCCCAAAGTGGGTCATTCCAATGCCTATCTAGGAGCTTTTTGAACATTTCAGGTTGCGAATTTGTACTATAGTTTTACGAGATGTTCCCATTAGGGGAAATTGATTGAAAAGAATATGAGAACTCCCTGCATTAGTACTTAAGATAAGGTTTTAGGAGAATCTCCATTGGTCTCAAAATAAAAAGGTTAATACAAATCAAACCTCCAGTTAAGTCTGATATGCTTTTGGTACCGCAAAATACTAAGAGTCTAGGTTATGTGTCCAATTACAGTTCCCAAAACTCTTTCTTCTCTTCTTGTTTTTCTTTTTAAATATTAATTATTTATTTATTCATGAGAGACACAGAGAGAGAGGCAGAGACATAGACAGAGGGAGAAGCAGGCTCCATTCAGGGAGCCCAATATGGGACTCGATCCCAGGACTCCGGGATCATGCCCTGAGCCAAAGGCAAACACTCAACTGCTGAGCCATTCAAGTGTCTCTTTCTCTTCTTCTTTTGATTCTCCTTTTCTTCCCAACTCAATAACTTGGAAAGCTTTCATATCTCTTCTCTACCTTGTTTTCAAAGCACTATTTCCATCTCTCCTCCCCATACTTATGTATACATCTGATCAAACTGTCCCAAATCTGCTGCTTAGAGAAGATCTATTGATAATCCATTTGTCAATCTCACAAGGAATCTTTCATGGCTATTTTAGAGCCTCTAGGCAGAACACAGAGTACCTCAGCATCTTTCCTGCCACGAGCCATCTCACCTCCATTAAGCTCCTCACTACCAAATCAATAAAGGAGATTCCTCAGCTGGATGGAGATAGTTGAGAAGTAAAGGGAACCAAATAGGTACAGTCCCTACCCCACTTTCCATTGTGTCAGATGGATCAGACAGGGACTCTGTGAAGGTAGCTATGATGGGAGGCATGCTATAGGTCAGTCCTTCCTGAAATAACGGTTTCTATTTTCTGATGAAAAACTTAAAATTCTGAAGTACATATTTCTGTAAATGCAGCATGCCTCCTTGTGGGCTGAGCCAAGTTGGAAGAATAATAAGCTCCTACTTAAATATGCACAGAGGATTTGCCTGGTGTTCAAGTCCACACAAGGTCTTCTTTGTATGTCTTGATACTGTGGGTTGGGGAAAGTCTGCTCTAAGTAGAAATCTAGGAAAGTGGAAAAACTTCACCTATAAGAAAATTTCATTTGGAAATGGGCAGTTTGTCCCTGTGCCATATGTATAATGTCTCTGTGGGTTTCTTCCACAGTCTTGGTAAAATGTCTTTCTTCTTGACATGGATCAAAGCTATTTTTATCACTGCCTTGGCATTTCCTCATTATTCTGGTGAGTACATTTTCAGTCCTGGATGAAGCATTTCATGTTTCTTAGAAATGCAGCAAACAATCGCTATTATCTAGAAATGGAGGAGTTTGATTTTTCAGATTTATAAATCTTAAACTGGCAAAATGAAACAGAGTATGTTAGAAATACCTTTTAAAATTGTGTCAGTGGGTTGCTTTATCTCATTTCCCACCTTAGAGAGGTGGAGACAAAGAGGTAGGTTAGAATGAGCTGTACTCATAGAATGAACATGTTTTTTTGTTCATCTGTGACTAAAGATATTTACCTATTTTTTTCCCTTTTTTGAAGGTCAGATTCCATGGTTGTTAAATGCAAAGTGTGTAAAGTAATGATGTCTTCTAAGTCCGATCTTCCTTGAGAATCTGATTTGTTATTTGCCACCTCTGAGTCAAGGCTCTGTATAAGGGAAAACCTCCTTGATTCCTCTGCTAACAACTTATGGTCCTGAAAGCCCAACATGGCCCATGAATTTCAGAATAAAGTAGCTGTGTGGTAGTGGATAGATCCCTGATATTAGACCTCAGTACTAATTAATTAAGTAATAATTAATTTCTTCGTATTAAGTGACTTTTTGCAAGGCATATAAGTGGCATTAAGCAAGCCATTTTCTTCTCCAACTAGGATGTCTCATCTAAAAAAATGGAAAAAAATCACGACTATAATGTCTTACGGAAGGGTTTGGTGATTATTAAATAATATAAAGGTAATTTTCACGGAGTGAGATTGATTTGGAATTATCTTTCTGCATCTGAATTTACTTTGTAAACTTACTGTTTTGATACCACTATAAAAGGCTCATCTCATTATTTGCAGGGTTCTGATTAGGCAATTTGCATAATATTTTGCTACTAAAAGATGTAGGTACTTCTCAAGAGACTGATGGCTTTCTCCTCTTCCTCTTCTTATTTTTAATTTGTGTGTGTGCGTGTGTGTGTTGGTTGGCCACAGAAACTTCTTTTGATCCTCCACCAGAAGACCGTAAAATGGTAAGTTAATACTGATTACTTAGGGAATTGTAATGTAAGACTTTAATTTTTTTATACCATAAGTTTTAACAGCAAATTTCACTGTGTACAGCAGAATGATCCTTCAAAAGTAACAAACAGACCAACAAACTGTGTTGTTATTATACTAAGTTCAAGAAACAGAATCTTGCCAGCCATATAAAATCATTTGATATTAAAGACAAAGTAAAGATATCCCATTACTAAAAAATTCCATCACTGGCCATAGCCTAGTTATAGACAAGTATCTGTTATGGGTTGAGGAATGTTTAAAGAAGAATTGTTTATCCTAGCGAAACATGAGGATTAAAAAAGCAACAATTCAATTTATCAACAGTAGATAAAACAATTATCATATGTTCACAGAGTGGACTATTACAGAGAGGTGAAGAAAATGAGCTACAGTTCTAAACATGTGAATAGATAAAACTTAGAAAGATATTTGAAAAGCAGACCATGTAAGAATACACACATTATTGTTTATTTATATAAATAACCAACATGGCCATCCTTAAGCAAATACATATCTACATGGTTATATACATATACGCAACCACTCATATATATGATTTCAGAAAAGTGTGATAATCTGAAACTATCAGATTACCTAGTAGTGAAACTATTGAGAAAGACAAGGGAATTATAAAAAATTGTTTATGATTTCTTGTGGTATGAAATATAGTTGGCTTTTAAACAGCATGAGTTTAAACTGCATGGGTCCACATATATAGATTTTTTTACAGGAGTGCAATCTTCCTTACAATTTTCTTAATATTTTCTTTTCTCTAGCTTAATTTAGTGTAAGAACACCATGTATAATACATACACAAAATATGTGCCAATTGACTGCTTATGTTATCATAAGGCTTCTGGTCAACAGTAGAGTGTTGGTATTTAAGTTTTGGGGAGTCAAAAGTTATATATGGATTTTCAACTATGTGGGGTTGGAGAGTCCATACCTCCAAGACCCTCACTGATCAAGGGCCATCTGGGGGAAAATCTGACCCAATATGAGGAGAAGTGAAGGCAGAGTGTCTAAATTATAAAAATACATTCAACCATTTATATGTTTTGAAAAAAATAATGTTGGGTTTGTAAAGATATACTATAAATATTTTATGTATAAGTGGACTATGAGTACCTGGATGTTTATTTTTAAACTTCAATGTAGAATATATTTATTCCATTTTGATGCATGGCATTTCGTATTAAGATTAAAGGACATTTTATTTTAAATATTCATTACTTGATACCTTTTATGTTTTATGTTGTCTTTTTATGTTTAACAGCCAAACTGTGATGTGTATATACATCAGTTACATTTTTGCACAAGAGAAATGGACCCAATCTGTGCAACCAATGGCCAAACTTATTCCAATACATGCGTTTTCTGCAGTGAACAATTGTAAGAACAGAAGACTAAATATGGCTCTTCCAAAATAATGAAGAAACCATCATAAAATGATAGAAAAACCCATGTTTTTGATAGCCTGGGTGCAGTACATACAGAAAATAACTAGTCTCTGTAAAAGCCACAGAAACACACTTGTACTTTTCCCTGAAGTTGTCATTTCTAGAAGCAGTTTTATATTTGACCTCTCAAATATAATTCTGTGGATATTCTGCAAATGCATAAATCAATTAGCTGAACTTAATTTAGTTATTATGACTTACTGACAGTCTAGTGACTGATATAGTTCCAAAGTCCAGATGATAAATGATAGTCTCCATGGTGTAGCTGCAAACTAACTTGAGCATAAATTGAGCAAGAAACCCTACTAGCTACAGAACTCTGAAATCCATCACAGTGGGCCCATTCATGCTAAGAAGGGCTCCTCTGATGCTCTGTCTCTTGAACTCCGTGACACACTCCAAACCTTCCTTAGTAGTAGAACATTCTCGAACCTTCCATGAAAACTCCCTTCTTGTATCCTTTACTCAAAAGGAGTTTGCAGTCCTTAAGTTTGGTCAACTTTTCTGCATCATCATTTTCTATCACAGGTATTTCTTCTCTTTTAATCAGAAAAACCTCTAATCTTATCCTCTCTCAGATCTGTGCAGGCTCCAAGACTGAGTCAGGACTGAGCATGTAGGAAGAGTTAAACACTCAGGTGTGAGGGGAGCATGTGCAGTGCTCCAGAGCAGGCAAAACCCACATACTTGTAGCATAGCCTCTACAAACTACCCCATTTTTAAATTCTCATTGAGAAACATTTATTGCAATATCTAGGTAGTTTCAAATGTTCTTTTAATACTTTCTTTTTCTTTCCCTTTTTCTTTCTTTACAGCGAGAGTGGTGGAGCATTTAAGTTTGGTTATTACGGTAGATGCTGATTTTGCCTGAGCTACACAATCCTCTGGCTTTTATTGTAATCCAGTTTTGTGGTAGATTCTACAACCAACCTCCTCAGTCAGAGTTTTAAATTCCTAAATAACCAAAGACTTCTGTGGTATTCAAGATGGGATACAAGATGTTGAAGAATTTTCCTAAGACCCTACGACTGAAAGATTTTTCTTCTCTATGTCTAATTATTCAAAAACATTTGAAAACTCTTAATTATGTGTTTCTAAATATAAAACCTAGTGCAATTTAAAATCATAATATTTCAATCAATATAATGTTCAATAATATTATCCTCTTAAAATTCTTTCTTTGGTTGGTTGGGTAGGTGGGTTAAAAGATATGAATGCTTTTGGTAACTATAATTTAAAAATATTTTCAAAGATGAACATATAATACATTACTTGTTCATTTATTAAAAATACAGATACTTGGGCTCCCCTTTATCTTAAAGAATCAAAATCTCTAGGAGAGAGATATGGGAACTTTAATTCTAATATGTACTCCATTGATTTTATGATTATCAATGTCAGGCGATATGGACTTAAGTTCTGAAACATAGGTCTATCATTGAAAGACTTGGAGAGTCTGTTAAAAGGTATTGTAAGCTTTCTGAGGTTTGGGAGAAAAATTGTATTATTTTCTTTCTGTCTCATAAACCAGTCAAGAGATAGGTTGATGATCCTGGGGTTCCAGGCAACTCAGTGATGTAGTTTAATCCATCTATAGTCAAGTCCGATACTTCTCCATTTCTTTCATCTCTCAGCTAACAAGAAACACATTTATTTAGGTGGCCATATGCTCATTTAAAGCTTGATTTTAATGGAAGAAATGTATATTGATTACTAGAATACAAGTATCAATCTGCTACACTATCAGGCCTGCTCTCCTTTTCACTAAACATTTCCACCTTTAAAGGAATGATCTATGTGGGAGTTATATATTCATTTACATTTTTAGTATTGATTCTTAATGAAAGTATCCATTAGAATGCAGACATGCAGAATTAGAATGCACAGTATATAAATGCATTCAGCCACTTTCACAACCTTTTTAATTATAGAGGACATGTATAAAAATATTCAGTGAATGCTGGCAATTTTATAAATGAATTTTTTCCTTTTATTTAACATACTATTTTTTTTTAAAAATCATAACTATATGTTAAGCCTTGTATCAATGGGAAGAAAAAGTTGGTAAAGAAAGCAGATACTACTGCTGTCTTCCGTGAACTTTGGGTATACTGGTGAAAGTTAGTTTCCATCAACAATGGGAATTCCACTTTCCCACATGACTATTTTCTACACAAGCTTTGTGAGTCAGCTTTTACATCCCCCACATCACGTAATTTAATTCTTAAGGAAATCTTGTTAGATGGGCATCAGTTCTGCATTTTACCCCTAATGAAAGTGAGGCACAGAAAATGTAGCAACATTTAAAACTGACACTTGATAAGGAAAAATATAGTGTTTTCTTGCCTTGGGATAAAATTCACAAAACTTAAAGTTTGCCATTTTGAAGAATAAGTTTTTTAGTATACATTCATTGACAGTGTTGTACAATCATCAGTATAATTCTAACATATTTCCATCATTTATCCCCCCTTCCAAGAAACAAAGAACAACCACACACTTCCCAATTTCCTGTATATCAATTCCTGAGAACCATGAAACTATTTCTTATCTCTATGAATTTGCCTATTTGGATATTCCATATACATGGAATCCTGTAGTATGTGTATGATTTTCATATGGAAGTGAATCTACTCATCTATTTATTGTGTGTGGTCTTTCTTTGAGTGATTTCCTGCACTTAGCACAGTGTTTACAAAGTTTAACCACATTGTAGTATGGATTAGTACTTCTTTCCTTTTTATGACTGAGTAATATTCCACTTGTGGGTGTATCACATTTTATTTATCCATTGTCAATTCACAGACATTTGGATTATATCTACTTATTGTATTTAATGAATAATATAGCTCTTGAAGTGTGTTGGAGTTGAATTATTCATCCTCATAAAACAAGTAAAAAATAAATCACTAAATGATCAATTTAATGTTAAAAAATAATGACTTCCATATAGTCACATAGTAGAATGTTACATAGAGATGAAAATAAATGAATTATAGCTCTGATATCAATATATATAAAGATCACAAAGGAGTCTAAAAAGCAAGCCATATAAGAATATATATAGTATTGTTTTCTTTGTAAAAATTACTATGATACCCTAAACTATGCATATATATGAATACATGTGTAAATTTGAAATGTATAAATATTTACATTTTGTGAATATATTTTTTGATATGCAGTGAAATTACAGAGGAACGCAGGAAATAATGAACAGAAAATTCAGTTTGGTGATTTCCTCTGGTAAGAGGGGCAAGGGAGATGTGGTCTGCCGGGGAAGATCATGAGTGTGGGTATGGATTTGCTACACTATAAAAATACTCATGCTAATTACTTGGCCTTTTTCTTAGTAGAGGGCTTATATATGTTAAAAAATTGGTAACTTTAAAAACTTTCTACTGAGTTGCAGGTACACAGATATTTGTCTTTGTACCTATATACTGATTATATTTACCTTATTTCATATGTAAGACATTTCATATAAAGATGAATTTTTTCAAATGTTCATTATCCAATAAACTTATGTTGTCTTTCTGTTTTACAGTCAATATGTGAAGTGTATGATAGTCCTGCACAAAGTTGCATTAGAGGATATTATCCAGTCTGTGCAACCATTGGCTGCACTTACTGTAATAAATGTGTTTCCTGCCTTGCCGTGAAATAAGACCACAGCAGTAAATCTGTGCTTCTAAGTAATGAAACACCAATTACAAAATCTTAGTACCCAAGATCTTAGCACCCATGTTGCTGGTACTCTGAACACAGATACACAGAAAATAACTAATATATCTGTAAAAATCAAAAACACACTTGTATCTTTCCTTGAAATTCTTGTTTGTAAAAGTCGTTTTGTGTTTGAGCTCTCTGAACCCTAATCATGCTGGGTGTTCTGGAAACATATAAATCAATTAATTTAACTATGAATTACTAATGACAGATTCTCAACCAATATGACATAATTCCAAAGCTCTGATGGTAATCGGTAGACCTCTGCTATACTCTAAAATCCATTAAATGTGTGACTCCTGGGTGGCTCAGCAGTTGAGCGTCTGCCTTTGGCTCAGGGCGTGATCCCGGAGTCCCACATCAGGCTCCCTGAGAGGAGTCTGCCTCTCTCTCTGCCTGTCTGTCTGCCTCTCTTTCTGTATCTCTCATGAATAAATAAATAAAATCTTTTTTTAAAAATCCATCAAATTGGCCCACTCATGCTGAAAAGAAACTCCTCTGATGGTCAGGTTTGTCCCCTGAGCTTCATGAGAACCTTTCAAACCTTCTTCAGACTGCAGGGCATTCTAGTACACTTACACCCAAACGTCCTTCCCTTTCTCCTTCAAACTGAAGGAATTTGTGGTCTAATGCCTCTGCCAGGCTTTCCTGCCTTGTCCACATCTTTTTCTCATAGATGTTTCCTCTCCTAAAATCTTTGCTTTACAATTCCAATGGTCATCTGTTTCTCAGGAACCACTCTCACAATCACTAATCCTTTCCTTTCTCAGGTAAGAGCAGGCTCCAAGGCTGAGGGCAGGGCTGAGCAAGTAGGAAGGGTCAGTATCCTCAGAGCAGGGGTGCCTGGGTGGCTCAGTCAGTGAAGCCTCTGACTCTTGATTTCGGCTCAGATCATGATCCCAGGGTCATGAGATCAATCCTGACATTGGGCTCAGCATGGAGCCTGCTTGGGATTCTCTCTTGTCTCCCTCTCCCTCTGCACTACCCACCCCACCCATCCCCCGGGCACCTGTGCATGCTCTCTCTCTTAAAAAAAAAAAAAAATTACTCACAGCAAAGACCTGCAGGCTTGGGAGAAGGCAAGGTCCAGAGGTTTCTAGAGTGGAGCACAGTGTCTCCCTGGAGTCCACGTTCTAGACTTCATGAAGAAGCACTTTGTGCATTTCTCAGGAGTTTAATGTATTCTTTTAATAACTTATTTTTTAAAAATTTCTCTTTTTTTCTACAGAGAAGGTTCTAACAAATTTAAATTGTCTCATTTTGGAAAATGCTAACTTTTGATGGAGTTATATATCTGTAGGGATTTTACTGTAATCATATTTGCAGTGGATTCTACAGCCAATTAGAGTTTTTGCAATCAGGGTCTTAAATTCCTAGAAAACCCCAGGTGAGTCCTCCTATTGGACACAAAATGGAAAACTGGACATTCAGGCTTCTTTCTAATTCTAAGATCCTGGGATGTCAGGGTTTTTATTCTCTATGTTCAATTATTCAATGATACCTTGAAAAAGTAATATATTAATTGCATGCCTGATAACATATAACCTAATGTAATAAAAATTCTAGATATTTTGCTTAATAAAATGCTAAGTGGTATTATTTTTATTAAAATGCCCTTTATATCTTTGGCTGAATAGTAAGTTAACACAAATGCATATTTTTGGTAATTATAAGGAAAAAATTTTAGAACTAAAAAAGTTAATTTCCAAATATTATATTACTTGAGTGTTTATAAAAAGTAGATATCTGAGATCTTCTCTTTCTCAAAGAATCAAAAACTCTTTTTTTAAATAAATTTATTTTTTATTGGTGTTCAATTTGTCAACATACAGAATAACACCCAGTGCTCATCCCGTCAAGTGCCCACCTCAGTGCCCGCCACCCAGTCACCCCCACCCCCTGCCCACCTCCCCTTCCACCACCCTTAGTTCGTTTCCCAAAGTTAGGAGTCTTTCATTTTATGTCTCCCTTTCTGATATTTCCCACTTATTTTTTCCTCCTTTTCCCTTTATTCTCTTTCACTATTTTTTTTTTAAACTTTGTGAACCAGTGTTTATTTTTTTTTAATTTTTTATTTATTTATTTATGATAGTCACACAGAGAGAGAGAGAGAGAGGCAGAGACACAGGCAGAGGGAGAAGCAGGCTCCATGCACCGGGAGCCCGACGTGGGACTCGATCCCGGGTCTCCAGGATCACGCCCTGGGTCAAAGGCAGGTGCCAAACCGCTGCGCCACCCAGGGATCCTCTTTCACTATTTTTTATATTCCCCAAATGAATGAGACCATATAATTTTTGTCCTTCTCCAAGAATCAAAAGCTCTTGAGATTTTCAATCATAGCCATTATAATGAGTGCATTTATTCTTTTTGTAATAGTTAAAAACACTTTATTCAAGATATTAAATTTATACATATATGTATGTATACGTGGCCTTAAATAAAATATAAACAAAGATTAATAGAAGACAGCATACCAAATATTAAATTTGTTGCTTCTCGGTAACGGAATTATATACGTTCACTTTTCCAATTTTCTAAGTCTTTCATCTTAATAAGAAACATGTAGTGGGCTCAGTGGTTCAGCATCTGCCTTTGGCTCAGAGCGTGATCCCGGAGTCTCGAGATCAAGTCCCACATTGGGCTCTCTGCATGGAGCCTGCTTCTCCCTCTGCCCGTGTCTCTGCCCCCCCACTCTCTCTGTGTCTCTCATGAATAAATAAATAAAATCTTAAAAAAAAAGAAACATATTTACTATCATAAGAGAAAAAAATAATTTTCAATAAAGCAACAAAATATCTAAAGACTTTCAATGCTAAATAGTTGAATTTTACCTGTCCTAACATTCCCAATGATAGATACCAAAATGTTTCCTCCATTTCCCAGGCTGACATTCTGAGTCAGGCTGGGCTTTATAAAGATCCAGAGAAGAATGGAAAGCTTTCTGGGTACTCTTTCATTCAAGCTGAATATCTTCAGCTTGCACAGGAGTGATTCCTATACACCCCACAATGCTTTCTGAGCTTCTAACTGAGCATGTCTATCTTGCCTGTTCTGAACCCGCTTATCTTTACAAACATCCTAATGCTGCTTAGTTCCTCTGACACCAGTGTAGATCTATTAAACAAACTCCACAGGGCACATTTGGTGATGATTACCAAAGTATCCCCATCACTCAAAATTGTAAATGCAGGTAACGGGTTAGCACATAACTAACTGGAATTCCAACCCAGATTCGTAGTTGCCATTTATTCAAGGACTAATGAATTAACTGTGCATATGGCACCATTCTGGGTACCATCAAAGAATCTAAACTCTTAAATGAACTATGTACCCCCAAAATAGGAAGCTAAGTGTCTTAATAGAGCCGTTCATGGAAGGGTCTGAAGAAGTTTAGAAATGAATATTTTTTCCATCTCTGTGATAAAAGCTGTTTTATAGAGATGGCCATTAGTGACTACAGGGTATCAGTTGATTATGATACCCATGTTAATGGAAGCACAGTCTGCCTTAAGAACTGTGCTTAAAGGGATCCCTGGGTGGCGCAGCGGTTTGGCGCCTGCCTTTGGCCCAGGGCGCGATCCTGGAGACCCGGGATTGAATCCCACGTCGGGCTCCCGGTGCATGGAGCCTGCTTCTCCTTCTGCCTATGTCTCTGCCTCTCTCTCTCTCTCTCTCTCTCTCTGTGTCACTATCATAAATAAATAAAAATTAAAAAAAAAGAACTGTGCTTAAGGCATCTAGTGCTAAAAATCAAGGAAAGAGCCTTTCCACTTTTCCTATACCTGGCTCTTTGTTCACTTCCCAACTTCCTCTCATCTTTAGTTCTTTCAGGACTCCTATAAAAAAACCATATACCATGTTTTGAAAGATGTCTCAGGCAACCACCAATATAAATGTTTCCAGGCAAGGGCACTATTATTCAACTTGACACTTTTCAGGTCCAGAAATATCTAGATGTCACAAAAATGTTGTTTGTTCTACACCGTGGCATTGTACTTATAAGCTCTACAAGAAAACTTAAGTAGAGAAACATGGCACTTGTGATTGGAAGGCTCAAACTAATAAAAGACGCCAATTTTTCTTGAAGTGACTCAGAATCAAGAAAGAAAACTGTCAAAATCCCAACAAGATTTTCTGTAGATAAAATCAAGTTTACCTTGAAATTTATATGAAATTATGAAGAAATAGAATTGCTAAAATAATTTGAAGAAACAATTTGGAAAAGTCAAAATACCTGATTTTGAGTCTTAGTATGTATTTATTATATAGACATAATAATCAAGACAATGTGGTAGTGGTGGATATGTATCTTCGATATATTTAATATGTATACATGTTTCATGTGTATATTCTATTCCACTGACGTGTATGTACACATATATTGTAGAGTGCAAAATGGAGTCTCTCATGTCAAGCAGAGACCTGTGTCAAGCAATGACACAAGCAGTTAAAGGTCATATATCTCAGAGATATCAAGACATTGGCCGGGACCAGCATCTGCTGACACTTCCAGAACAGATAACCAGCAGAACCAGAGGAGGTCTGCAGGATCCTAAAACTGATTAAATCTCTTTAAAAAGGGAAGGATTTTGAGAGCAAACTGTCAGACTCTTCAGACATGATCTCTTTATGTCTGACCATTGAAAAAGGAAGCTGCCTCTGGAGGCTCCACCCTATTGATGTCCCTGCAGAACAGAAATGCTCCAAGGCTTGAACGTAAAAAGCCTAAGTGCCGACATCTGATCCAGATCAGACCGAAGCCTTATCTCAATTGCATGCCCACAAACTTACTTTGCATTTGGTTCATTAACTTCCTACATCCTTCTGTTATCTTGTTTGTTATGTGGTTTGTCTTCTGTCCTGCTCTGTGTGCTGTGTAAGAAGCCAAGTTTCATCACATGGTGAAATGTCATTGACTTTGGAATTCTGAACCTACTTTGTAATTGTGATTTCACTTTGCTTTATGACTTAATAAAGCTGACATGGAAGGATACAACTCATGTGTGCGCCTTCATAGCATGCTCATGAGTTGTGTCCCACATGTTCTCTTAGTTCTTATAAAAACCTCATTAGACGTTGGCTCCATTCTTTAGCAACATGAAAGTGAGATGGGGAGTTTCACAATATTTAAAAGCTGCCATTCTGGTAATGAAAAGGCAATTTTAATAGAGAATCTGCTATCCTTTTACTTTTAAAATAGATTCATTGAAATATTTACTTAGCAAAAAAAAATCATTCTTAGGTATCCAGATTTTTGTAAATATACAGAGATACATAACCATCAACACAACCCAATTTTAGGTTATTTACATTATCCCAGAAAAGCTTCTTTTAACCTGATTGCAGGTAATCTATCTTCCCACTTCCATCTCCAGACAACCTCTAATCTGCATTCTTTCCCTATTGCTTTGTCTTTTCCAGACGTTTCACATAGATAGAGTGAAGCAATACATAGTTGTTCATAGTTGCTTCTTTCACTAGGCATAGTGATTTAGCAGTTCATATACTTCAAATTATCTATCGGGAGTTCATTATTTTTACATGATGAATGGGGTATTCCATTTTGCATTGATTAACCATATTGCGTTTATTTATTTACCAGTTGATGGGCACTTGGATTGTTTCTACTTTTTGGTTATTATGAATAATGATATTAAGAATATTATGGTGCAGCTGGGTGGCTCATTGGGTGTCTGCCTTTGGCTCAGGTCATGACCTCAGAGTCCTGGGATCTAGCACCAAGTGGGCCTCCCTGGTTAGTGGGGAGTTTGCTTGTCTCCCTCTCCCTCTCCCCTGCCTGTGCTCTCTTTCTCTCTCTCTCTCTCAAGTATATAAATAAAATCTAAAAAAAAAAAAAAATTAGGTATACAAGTATTTGTATGAACATATGGTTTTTGTTTCTTTTTCTCTTGGGTGAATAGCAGGAATGGAGTAGATGGTTCATATGGTGGATGTTTGTTGAACTTCTTAAGAACCTGTTATCCAAAGTGGCTTCTTATGTTCTCACTAGCAATACATGAGGTTAAACTTTGTCTACATCCTCATGAACACACTTTTTAATTCCCTTTTTTGATTATAGCCATTGTGGCATTTATTATTTTCATAATACCATTTAAATCTTTAAATGAATTCTGTGTATATACCTTATGGTCATAATTTTTTAAATGTCAAATCATAATAAAATATATCAAAATATTAAAATTGGTTGCATCTGCATAATAGAGTTAAGGTTTTATTTTTTATTTTTTTTGCATTTTTACATCTCTTTTGCTTCCCTTTGTAATGAAGATATATTTACTATCATAATGGAAAAATTAATTTCAATAAATAAAAAGGTGTCAATGTATTTTATTGATAATCTGACCTAATTTTACCCAACTTTACATTCCTCAGTAGTGATACTAGGTACCAAAGTTTCTCCTACTGTCCCCAGATCGACAGGCAGAGTAACCATTGCTTTTATTAAGCTCCAGGCAAGAAATGAAAAAAATTCTGGGCACTCTCTCAAACCAGCAGAATGTCAGGATATAGTCATTATTGCCATCTGCTATGGACTGAACGTTCATGTCCTGCAAAATTCATATATTGAAATCTTAATCCCCAAGGTGGTGGTGGAGAGAGATAGGCCTTTGGGGAAATAGAGCATGAGGGCAGATCCTCATGATTAGGATTCGTGCTCTTTAAAAGAGACCGCAGAAGGCAGCCCAGGTGGCTCAGCGGCTTAGCGCTGCCTTCGGCCCAGGGTGTGATCCTGGAGACCCGGGATTGAGTCCCAGTCGTCAGGGTCCCTGCATGGAGCTTGCTTCTCCCTCTGCCTGTGTCTTTGCCTCTCTCTCTCTGTGTATCTCATGGATAAATAAATAAAATCTAAAAAAAAAAAATAAAAGAGACCGCAGAATACTAACTAGCTTGCCCTTCTGCCATGTGAAGTTACAGGGAAATGTGGCCATCTAGGAAGCTGGATCTCACCAGGCATTAAATCTGCTGAGGCCATGATCTTGAACTTCCCAGTCTCTGGAACTGTGAGAAATAAATGTTTGGTGTTTATGAAGTACCTTGTTTATGGTATTTTTGTTATAGCAGCTAAAACCCCATCCATTCATAGTGCTTTTAAACCAGTAAGTGGGCACTCAGAAATTAGCTTTTCTGAACCATCATGTTCTTTTACAAGAGTCCTTTTGGTGTTGTGGTCCCCCAATTCCTCTGTGGTAGGGCTATTACACTGTATAAGGCACATGGTTGCAAGTAGTGTTGTGTTTTGCTGATGATTGCAAAAGCCACTTCACTAAACATAATTGTAAATGGCAATTACTACCTAAAGTGGGAAGGTTGTCCAAAATAATATTTTCAATTCATACAACAAATATGAATTGTGCAACCTGAAATTATACAGTAAGGGATGGATATAGAACCCAAAGGTCCAGGAGGAACAGAATGGCTTAAGAAAATGTATTGTAGCCATGACCAAGGAAAGATCCCTGGGTTTCCCTTAACCTGGCACCCAACTCAAATGCATCTGTCCTGCTTTTTCCTGAGTCACCACAAAGAGTCCTCTAGCCTCTAGTGACTCTCCAGATATATATACAAAGTCTAGATATCCTGAACTGAATAAATGCTTCAGACAACCATCAGTCCAAATGCAGGTAGAGAGTAAACTTTAACAAACTGTCCAGTATGAAAAATCCAAAGTATGTTAACCAGAGTTTCATTTGTTTTATACCATGACATAGCACTTAAAATCCATACATTCTTTGAGGAAATAACATTTAATAAAAGATTCATAAAGTAACATGTAATAAAACACTATATGTTGAATGCCATTGTTCTATGTTACAGATTATAACAGCTGAATTATTTGAAATGACTCTAATATCAGGAGCCATGGCAAAACTTGCAAATACAGGTACTTGTGGTATTTGTTTGATAAATAATTTACACACAATAGTAAATCATTCAATTCACCAAGGGTAGATTAATAAATATCAAAGGACCAAAATAATAAAGAAAAAATTCACTTTTTTTTTGAAATTCACTTTTAAAAATGTGACATAGGGATGCCTGGGTGGCTTAGTGGTTGAGCATCTGCCTTTGGCTCATGGTGTGATCCCAGGGTCCTGGGATGGAGTCCGGCATTGGGTTCCCTGCATGGATCCTGCTTCTCCCTCTGCCTATGACTCTCTCTCTCTCTCTCATGAATAGATAAAGATCTTTAAAAAATTAAAAAATTAAAAAAATAAAAATGTGACATACTTTCCATCTGAGGTTTCAGAAATGCTTGGGATACTTAATATTGTGAAGGACCATAAGTCTGGATTAATACATTCATATAACACTATTCAATAAAACCCAGCAAGGCCTAGCGTTTACCAATTTTAATGTTCTAAACTAAAAAAAAATTCGCTTTTCTTATAGTAGTAAATGTAGGTTAACCCTGCCAGATTTAGATATAGGAGATATGCCTAGTACAAGGTTTGACTGATTTTCATGGTTTTAGGTTTATTGAAATAAATTCACACACAGTAAAAGGAAACATCTATAGCTATAAAGTAGACAAACACAATTATGTAAGCCACTACACAATTATGTTACAGAATTTTTTCATCAGCTAAAAAACTACCTTGCACCATCTTGTCAATTCCTTCTACCAACCCCAACCTCTGAAAACTACTTACCTAATCTCTGTATTTGTTAACTATACTTAGGTTGAATTCCATTTAGTCACAAGATTACATAAATAAGAGTGAATTCCTGCATAGTCTTTAACTAGCGTCATGCAGTGCTGACCCTTTACATAACCACAACACGGTGACAAAACCAGCAAACTGACCGGGTATGCTAGTATTGACCAAACTAAAGACTATGCAAAGAGTTCACCATTTTTAAAAATGAATTCTACTTCTGCTTTTCCTCTTGATGCCTCAATCTATGAAACTTTCCACTTAACGGGAGCAGTGCCATTGGGAAGACTGGAGCCTGCTCTTGATTCCCATTTGCCCTATTTTTATTATCTCAGTCTCAAAGTCATAGTATTCTCTACCTTTTCCACAACTTTGGTGGTCAATGCATTATGTTCTTCATGAAACTATATTATATAATCCATGTGTCTAACATTAACTTCACTGGTTAATTTCAAAATCTTTTAGCCTTCTGTGCTAATAGGCAGCTTTTCTTGCTTGCTCTTGACCGATAAATCCATAGAAAAGAAGTCCAGTGCCCACCATTTTCAATTCTAGACTTGCATTTACTTCTCCCACAAACATCTTATGTCAGAACAATTGGTCTGCTGCACATTTCTCTGGTGGTGTTCTACATAAAAAATTAATATGCATACTTTCACTTTAGAATATTAAAGGAACACTTTCTAGACTTGAAAGAATTTAGGTTCTTGCATTGAATTGGCTTTGAACATTATCAGCTTCAGAGTAATGAAGCTTTCTAAATCCTAGATTTCTTCAGTGTTAAAAAATCACTGGAAGGTTTCAGGTGACATAGGGTCCACATATTCAACTGAAGTGTGGATAGTTTTAATATTTTATCTCTAGTATTTGTGACAAATCTATGGGACAGAAATTATTGCTCTCAAATTTAAAATACATTATTTTAACTGATTCAGTCAGTTAAGGGTACAACCAGGGGGATCCCTGGGTGGCGCAGCGGTTTAGCGCCTGCCTTTGGCCCAGGGCACGATCCTGGAGACCCGGGATCGAATCCCACGTCGGGCTCCCGGTGCATGGAGCCTGCTTCTCCCTCTGCCTGTGTCTCTGCCTCTCTCTCTCTCTCTCTCTCTTTCTGTGACTATCATAAATAAAAAATAAAGATTTAAAAAAAAATAAAAGGGTACAACCTGATTTTGACTCAGGTTGTGATCTCAGGGTCCTGGGATCAAGCTACATGTGGGGCTCTGTACTCAGCGGGCAGTCTGCTTGAGGACTCTCTCCTTCCGCCCCTCCCTCTTGCACTCACACACTTTCTCTCTCTCAAATAAATAAATATTTTTAAAAACACTAAAATACATAAATGTGCATTAGAAAGTTTAGACATGGAGTTCACAGTATTTATATGTAAATGGGATTTGAAGTGAACTCCCAAAGCTCTTTCCATTGAGTCAGTCTATATAGCTGATTGATCAGTTAGGAAGAAAATAACTGAAAAATCTCTCCTTTACTTTAAAAGTTTTCAGTAGTTCCCATGTACCTCTGAAGCAAAGATAAATGTACTTAATATATAATATAGGCCAGTGTCCCACCTAATCTCAATTTCCATCCCCAGCTTTCTTTTCTTCTATCCCAGAATTCACATTTCTGCATTCTAGTCCAGAGGTTCTCACACCTGACTACACTTGAATCTCACCTACGAGCTTTTAAAACACAGCAATGACAAGGGTTCATGTACTAATCATTGACTCATGGTCTTGATGGTGAATTGTTTCCAGGTGATTCTAACATTCTTCAAGTTTTGAAAACCACTTAGGACTTAAAACACTTGTTAAATTAACACTTGCAAACTCCTTTTGCCTAGTGTGATGCCCTTGTTCCTTTCCTTGTTCACCTGCCTGGAGTTTTCACATAGCTGATCTATCTTACAATCTATAACCACACTAACTACCTTCTTCGTTCTCATATTTCAGGGTTCATCAGACGAAATTATCTCCAAGGCTCCTGCTGAGAAAAGATGCAGTGTGAAATATTTGTGAGGCATCTCTCATGACCTGCTTTACAACCTCAAGGGAGGACACGAAATGCCTGTGTTTTGTCTGCCCTAGGCCATCTATCTTACCGCATAAAACTCCTCACTCATGTATCAATAAAAGATTTAGCTTGTTGAATATGGATGGTTGCATACTTGGTATGATCTCAATACCTTAAGTTATAATGTGTTTTGTGTGACCTACCTTACAGAATGTTCCATGTGTGCTTGAATAGAATGTGTATTCTGATTCTGTTGAGTGGAATGTTGTGATGTATCTGTTAGGTTCCTTCAGTCTGCAGTGTTGTTCAAATCTGTTGTTTTGTTATTGATACGTCTGGATGTTCTGTTATTGAAAATGGGATATTAAAATCCCCTGCTATTATCTGTTGCTGTGATATGCTCTGATTTCATTCCCTTTTTCTTTTGTGTATCTTCAAGAAGTATCATCTTTTTGATTACTGTGGGGCTTACATAAAACATCTTATGGTTATAGCAATCTATTTTACGCTGATAATAATTTAACTCCAATCACACACAAAAACTCTACACTTTTACTTTTCCCACACTTTATGTTATTGATGTCATACTTTATCCATTTTTAAATGTAACTTTTTATTGTTGAAAAAATACTATGTTTTTATCATTGAGTTGTAAGAAACCTTATATTTTCTGGATACAAGTCTCTTACTAGCTATATGGCTTGTAAAGACTTTTTGCCATTATGTGGGTTGCTTTTTCCCCTTATGGTGTTTTTCAAAGCATAAAACTTTTAGTTCTGGTGAAGTCCAATTTATCTGTTTTTTGCTTTGTTGCCTGTGCTCTTGATGTCAAATAAAAGAAATGATTGCCTTATGCAAGATCAGGAAGATTTTTCTCTTACATTTTCTTCTAGAGTCTTATCGTTTTAACTCTTGTTTACATTATGAGTTAATATTTGCATATGGTGTAAGATGGTGTCTAATTTCATTATTTTGCATGCAGACATTCAATTGTAGCAGCACTTTAAAATTATAATTTGCTTAGGAATAAATTAAACAAAAAAATGTAGAATAAAAATACAAAATACCGTTGAGAAAATTAAGACCTATATAACTAGAAATATATCCCAGACATGTTTTAGACTTGACATTGTTAATATGACCATACTTCCCAAAATGATCTACAGATCCAACACGTTCAAAATTTCAGATGCCTTTTTTGAACAGAAATTCAGAAGGCCATTTAACATACTTTCTGTAATTTCAATCCTCTGAAATGTATTCAAGTTTATTTCATAATCTAACATTTGTGATATCCTGTAGTATGTTCATATGTACTAGAGGTGAAATAGTATTCTGCTCTTTGGGGGTGAAATTTTCTCTGGGTATCTGTTAGATCTGTTGGTTTCTAGTGATCTTCAAGTCTTTAATTTCCTTATAAGTCTTCTGCCTATTTGTTATTCATTGAACATGGAATATTGAAGTCTCTAAGTACTACCGTCAAATTGTCTATTTCTCTTCTCCATTCTGTCAGGTTTTTCTTCATGCGTTTAAAGTTCAATTATTAAGTGTATATATGTTTTAATGTTATATCTTTCTGATGGATTGACACTTTTCCCATAAAATTTTCTTTTTATTCAATAAAAATTTTTTGTTCCATATTTCATCTGATATGTAGCTTCTTCAGCTCTCTCTCCCTCTCTCTCTTTAAATATTTATTTATTTGTTAGAGAGAGAGAGCAGGAGAGCAGTGGGGAGGAGTAGAAGGAGAGACAGTCTTAAGCACACTCTGAGCTGAGCATCAAGTCTGACATGGGGCTCCATCTCATGACTCTGAGATAACAACCTAAGTTGAAACCAAGAGTTGGATGCTTAACCATCTTTGACACCCAGGTGCACCCTAAGTTCTTTTTTCTTGTTATTATTTGCATGGCATAACTCTTTTCATTATTTTAATTTCACATTATTTGTGTCTTTAAACCTAAAGTGTGTCTGTTGCAGACAGCATCTAGCTGGTTCACTTTTAAAAAAATCTATTCTTCAAATCTTTGCCTTCTGATTCAAGTGTTTTTTGTTCCATTTACATTTCATGCAATTAATGGTAAGTTAAGGCTTATTTCTGTTCAGTTGCCTTACTATTTATTTTTCAAATGTCTAATATCCCCTCTATTTCCCTACTACTTCCTTATTTTATTAAATATTTGTTTTCTAGAGTAGCATTTTCATTCCTTTGTAATTTATTTACTTTGAAATTATGTATCTTCCAACATAAGATGTACTGAGAATGTTTGCTTTGGACTTCTTTAGGGATAGGATCCATTTGTTGGCCACATTCTTCCACCTATATACAGGTAGAAGAGGATTACAAGCGTGCCTTCAGTTTCAAAGTTTAGCTTATTTGATTTTCTGGATGACTGAAGTCATCTGCCTACATGGAATTCCATGGTCAGTTTTTCTGTTTTTGACTCTTCAATTTCTAAAACACTCTCCTAAGCATCATAGGTTTCAAGATATTAGAAAGGGGACTATAATGATCATCTAGTTCACATCGTCAAGCCAGCAGTATTTTGGGAACTTCTAAACTCATGTTACAGGCTAGATGTGAAAGATTCACTCATCTCCACTTCAAACAAGATCTTTTATTTTTATTTTCCTCTAAATAGATATATATTCCACACGATATCAAATTTCAAAGATAGATTTAATGTTAGGACATTTTGTAAGTCATCTTTGTACTCCAAAGTTGTCATTTTACAGAAGACAAAATACCTATGAATCAAGTTAGCCAGAGAGTAATAATTTTTTCACACATAGAAGACTTTAAAAATTAGGAAGGTACATCACAGTTTTAGATGGAAATACTTGAAAGCATACAAGAGAGAAATCGTGATTCTATTAAATTGTTTGGACAATTTTATTTTGACTCCTAATGAATAAATCTTGTAATTGAACAAAATAGGTTTAACATAAAAAAATACAACAATTTCCTAGACAATTTTGATAGTAGAAATAGCATAATTCTATATAGGCATTACAACATTTATTATAGAGTAAAGATCTATAAATACTTACAGATCTTATTTATTTATTTATTTATTTATTTATAATAATAAATTTATTTTTTATTGATGTTCAATTTGCCAACATACAGAATAACACCCAGTGCTCATCCTGTCAAGTGCCCCCTTCAGTGCCCGTCACCCATTCACCCCCACCCCCCCTCCCCTTCCACCACCCCTAGTTCATTTCCCAGAGTTAAGAGTCTTTCATGTTCTGTCTCCCTTTCTGATATTTCCTAACCATTTCTTCTCCCTTCCCTTCTATTCCCTTTCACTATTATTTATATTCCCCAAATGAATGAGAACATATAATGTTTGTCCTTCTCCGATTGACTCACTTAAATCTACAATTATCTCATAATAAAAGGTTAAAATCGAAAATTAAATAGCTCTACTGAGTCTAATGTGCTTGTAGTGCAGAAAACTTTTAAGGGGTCATGCCTATGTCTAATTTTAGTTTCCTGAACTCTTTTTCTTGCTTGGATTCCCTTTCCCCTTTCTAGGCCACTTGCTTGGAGAAGTTACTCATCTCTTCTCTATCTTAGAATCCGTAATCACTCTTGTTACTTTTTTCCTTCCCCAAATTTCTGTTTATCACATCAAATTGTCTTCAGATTGTCTCCAACTTCACATGAGCTACTATAAAGCCTTTATGCAGAACATAGACTATATTTTATTCACCCCCTTGGACCATTTGTTTTACCCATCGAGCTCCTCACACACAGATTAAAGAGCTCTTCATTCCCACAAACAGTGCAAGAGGGTTCTCCTTTCTCCACATCCTCTCCAACATTTGTTGTTTCCTGCCTTGTTAATTTTCCCCATTCTCACTGGTATGAGGTGGTATCTCATTGTGATTTTGATTTGTATTTCCCTGATGGCAAATGATGCGGAGCATTTTCTCAGGTGCTTGTTGGCGATGTCTATGTCTTCCTCTGTGAGATTTCTGTTCATGTCTTTTGCCCATTTCATGATTGGATTGTTTGTTCTTTTGCTGTTGAGTTTAATAAGTTCTTTATAGATCTTGGATATTAGTCCTGTATCTGATACATCATTTGCAAATATCTTCTCCCATTCTGAAGGGAAAGGAGAAAAAATGAGTGGGAAATATCGGAAAGGGAGACAGAACATGAAAGTCTCCTAATTCTGGGAAACGAAGAAGGGGTGGTAGAAAGGGAGGTGGACAGGGGGTGGTGATGACTGGGTGAACTGGCACTGAGGGGGGCACTTGATGGGATGAGCACTGGGTGTTATGCTATATGTTGGCAAATTGAACTCCAATAAAAAAATTTTAAAAAAAGGAAAAAAAAAAAAGCTAAAAAAAAAAAAAAAAGAACTCTTCAGCTGGATCTGTATAAATGAGGGGAAAAGTCAAACAAGATAGCCAATCTCCAGAGCTGTTAACCTCCATCTTCATTTACCTTTTCTCTGTGAGATAGGCCACATGGGGGATCCTGAAACATAGCCCTAATGTATGACATCCCTTCCAGAAACAATATAGTTCTTATTTTCCCGAGGAAACATTCAAAAGTAAATGTTTTCTTTAAATGCAACAAACAATCTTTTAGGCTTACCAAAGGACTGAGAGAGTAAGTAACTCCTTATGTATGACAAGAAGACTTTATTCCTACACTTTTTCTCACATAGTTAGGAGGTCTTCTGTTCACATGTGTTTTGTTGATCTTTGGGTTGGGATAAGAAAAAGGGACTAGTTGCTTTAATTTGGATTCTAGATATTAGAGAAGTCCCTTTGCAAGTAGCAAACTTTTGGAAAAGTGGACCCAGATTCTGGTGGTTTATCCATTGGAAATGTATAGGTCATACACATATATCTCTTTGCTCTGTCCGCTAACAGGCCCTGAGAGTGTCAGAGAGCATACCTATCACCCAGATTGTGATTTCTAATCCTAGTCTTCAATGAAAGGACATCAGGGTCTTTGGAGAAATGGCTGACTTTAGGACTGAAGCACCAGATAGAGAAGTTGAGCCTGAGGCAACTTGCAGTGCCAAAAAATAGGGAAGTAAACTAATAGAACAATGGTGGTATGCCAAAGAGACACAGATCCCAATCACCAAAACTGTAAAGAAGCATGCTTTGGTAAA